GGGATCCTCGCCCGTGTAGGAGGGTAATCACCAAGAAGAAAGCTTGCTATCCGAATTGTTTAGTAGCACGTTTAGCTCTGACTTGGCTGTTCTGTGGGGTGGGGAGGCTTTGCTCTTTCCACTTGGCATTTTGAGTACATTAAGGGCAATTAACACTGGTACTTGTGAGCACAAGGTGTCAAGCTATCTTTAGACAAAATGCCTTGCCCTCAACTTGTTTTCGGCTGACAAAAGAGAACTTGGCTAATGCCTTCTTTCCCCCCTAATTTTTAAAAACCGTAACTTTATGTCCCTTGTGGTTTTATATTAGCCTTTTGATTACAGCTCCAGTAGGTTTGGAGACCTCAAAGTGATAGAACCACTTGGTCATATTTTATCTACAAATTTTGTGGTATTGTTCCCCCTACCGTGTTTATTTTATTTTATTTTTTTTAAAGATTTTATTTATTTATTTGAGAGAGAGAGAATGAGAGAGAGCACATGAGAGGGGGGAGGGTCAGAGGGAGAAGCAGACGCCCCGCCGAGCAGGGAGCCCGATGCGGGACTCGATCCAGGGACTCCAGGATCATGACCTGAGCTGAAGGCAGTCGCTTAACCAACTGAGCCACCCAGGCGCCCTACAGTGTTTATTTTTAAACACTAGCTTCCAATGGATAAAATTAGGGAAAATTGAATGAAAATCTGATCTCCGGCTTTTCTTGAAAAGTAAGAAAATCAGGCAACCCTGGATCTTTGTTCCTGACTACAACTCTTTGCTGAAGCTGTGCTTCAGTCTGGCTTTATAGGCTTCTGAATTTAACTCCCCGGGGGAAGAAGATTAGGGAGTCTTCCAAAATGTCCAAAATATCCACCTGATCCCAGGCCAGTCCAGGAAGAGGTTTCAACATTCCAACGTAAGTTGTTTTGAAGCAAGCTGCTAATGTTTAGCCCAGACACCAGATGCGTTTGGTGACTGGGGTCTTCTGTCCCCTCCTCTCCTTTGATGCTTCTCCTTCCCTTAAGACTCGCTGTCTGTAGATGGTCTCCTGAAAGGGTCACCGTCATGCCACTGTTCAGCACTTCATTTAATGCTTTCTATGTCTGGAGGGCAGAGACATTCTTTTCACTGTACAGGTGTGCCCCAGAGATATTGAGGGTTAGGTTCCAGACCACTGCAATAAAGTGCATATTGCCAAAAAAATGAGTCAAATGAATTTTTTGGTTTCCCAGTGTCTATTGTAGTCTATTGTATTGTTGTAGTCTATTGTATTATTGTAGTCTATTAAGTATGCAATTGCATGATGTCTAGAAAATAAGTGCTCACCTTAATTAAAAAATACTTTATTGCTAAAACATTCTAACCATCATCTGAGCTTTTAGCCAGTCATAATTACTGATCACAGATCACCATAACAAATATAATAATAATGAAAAAGTTTGAAATATCGTGGGAATTACCAAAATGGGAGTGACACAGAGACACAGAGTGAACAAAGGCTATTGGTAAAATGGCACCAAAAGACTTGCTCTGAGCAGGGTCGCCACAGATGTTCATTTTGTAAAAAACTGCAGTAGCTGTGAAACTCAATAAAGTGAATCGCAATAAAAGGAGGTATGCCTCCACTCTACTCTCCCTGCCCTGCAGTTAGCACAGCCCTTTGAAGATCTTAGATGGTCCATCCATGAGAAAATTAGAAAGATGCTATGCTAGGAACCAGCCATAGCATATATGGGGTGGTGATGGGGTCAAGGGTTGACAGACCATCCAAAAAGCTGCAAGGGGTCTAGGTGGTAGGAGGTGGGGTAGGTGGAGAAGTTTAAAAGGAGAAGGGATATTGAGTACAGGGTTCAAGGATGGAGGAAGTGGCCCAGGCAGAGGCCTGGGGACTAAACGCTTAGGAAGTGTGGTCTTGGATAAGAGGTCGGGCAATTTGTTGGGGTCCGAGAGCTCTGACACAGGCTGAGGTAGCTCTTCTTGCAGATCCCTTGACTCTCCTCTTTCTCTCCCTCTCCCTATCCAATTCTCCAGAACATTCTATCGAACATAATTTCAAAATGCTTCTAGACTCCACCCATATCTCACAACTTGTATCATTATCATCCTAGTCCTAGCCACAGTCATCTCTCACCTGCACAACTACAAGAGCCTCCTTTTCAGTGTCCCTCCTCCCCTGGTACCTCCCGACGCTCTATCCTTCTTCTGCAGCCAGAGGGACCCAAACTGCCTGCTAGCCCATGAGGTCCTACAGGATTTGGCCTCTGTGACCTCTCTGATCACAGTTCTCCTCCTTTGCTCTCATGTCCCTTCAGGTACGCCAACACACCTTATAGTTTCTGAGCATGTTAAGGGACTTTGCACCTGCTGTTCCCTAAGCTTGGAACGCTCTACTTCCAGAAATCTCCAAGGCTCACTCACTCCTTCTAATCAGGTGTCGTCTTCCCTGGTCACCCACCTAGAACAGAATACTCCTCCCCACTCCACACACATGCACACGATTCCCTTCTCCCACTTTTCCTAAGAACACATGTCATGTTATGTTCTATATTTATTCGTTTCATTGTTGGCGTTTTCCACCAGAATAAGTGCCACGAGCGAGAGCAGAGACTTCTTAGCACATAGTACATGCTTAACGAATAAATGAAGGAGTCTAGCAGATAAGAAGTGAGAGATGCCAGAGTCAGGGTTGTCTTGGGGAAAAGAGGTAATATTTAACACACAAGAAGAGATTTTCCATATAACACTTGGTATAGTGATAAATATTTAATTCAATTCAATTCAGTTGAGGTATTTATAGTGCAATATGCAGACTGCAATGCCAAGAGACGTTTGGGATAAGGGTTAATTAAAGTACAGGTCCTGCCTGCAAGGAATTTATAGGCAAGGAAGAGAGGCGAGGGCAAGTAAGACCCCTTAGTAACTTTTTTTTATCCCCCATAGCATGTTCTTCATTGCCTTGCCCACTGGGGGAGTGGGTAACTAACTTTTTTTTTTTTTAAAGTTAATTATCAGTATACTCCTTCCCGAAATCCTTTCATCACCATACCGTCCATTAGAGTGAAAAACATCTTACAAACCCACAATCCCTTTCTGAGTTCTGAACTCCACACCTCGCCCCCCAATTGTTTTTTGAACATCTTTACTTCTATGGCTCTTGGGCATCTCCAACTCAATACATCCAATCTCATCCTATGTTTCTTGATCTCAGTTTTTGAGGTGGAGCTGGTTTTTCTGCCCCATTCCTCACCTTCAACCTGGCATTCCACGGAGTCTACCTCCTGATGTCCAGGGGACCTGCTCATTTCTCTCCCTCCCTGTTGCTACTTCTGTGGTCCTGGTCACCGGATCTCTTGTCTAGATTTACGGCAACACCCACTAACCTCCTGTGGAACTCCCCTCCCACCCATTTTCCACATCTAGGCCAGAGTGGTCTTTCTAAAATGTACATCTGAGAGCAGTACTGCCTTGCTTGGAATCTTCAGGGGCTTCACTATGGCCCTGGACTAAAGTCCACCCCCCCCCCTTTTTGGGAGAGATTTTATTTATTTGTTAGAAAGAGAGAGCACAAGCAGGGAGAACAGCAGGCAGAGGGAGAAGCAGGCTCCCTGCTGAGCAAGGAGTCCCATGCGGGACTCGATCCCAGGACCCTGGGATCATGACCTTAGCCGAAGGCAGGCGCCCAACCGACTGAGCCAACCAGGGGGTCCCTAAAGTCCAAACCCCTTAACACACCATACAAAGCCCTCTAGGTTCTGGCACCAGATTTCTTCTCTGCTCTTTCTTGTTACTTTCCTACAGCCTAATTTGTGCCCAACAGAGATTTCTGGTCCTCTGATTACTCTCTCGTCCCTCTAGGTCTTGGAGGATACTGATTCAGGGTCTGGACTCAGTTACTCCTTGCCTCCCTCCTCTCCTTCCTCTGGAGCCTCCTTCTGCTCTTTTGGATTCTACCTAGTTTTCATTTCCTCTAAGAAGCCTTCCTGACACCTGACCTGATCTGACCAAATCCCTCCTCCTCATGTCCCAACCCCGAAACACAGGGTCCAGGTCCTAGCACCTGCTTCCTCAACACTTTGTTCTTTTCTTGCAGTACCTGTTTTATAGTCTCCTGACTAGACTGCAAACTCCAGGAGGGCAGGACTGTCTTATTCTACCTTGGTTACCTTTTGACCGTTCCTACCCAGAAGGCATGTGTATTCATTAAGTATTTAATGGATGAAAATGCACTTGTTTGGGTAGGGCTGCTCCTCAAAAATAATTATATCTTACATTTATGGAGTGCTTAAGATGGGGCAGGCTCCACTCTAAGTGCTTTGCAAGTGTGCCATGGACATCTCCCATAACCCTCTTTAGTAGGGGCGGGCTATTTCCCCATACAACAGATGGGGAAACTAAGGTACAGAGAGGTGAAATAACTCCACCAAGGTCGGCAGCAAGGACGTGGAAGAACCAGGGTTAGAACCCAGGCTGTGTCCAGAGTCCAATTTGGCCACAACTTCTAGGAAGTTCTGCTCTAGAATGAAGCACAACATGGGGTTCCACTACATAGTGAATACTGCTGGAATCAGTATTCAAATCTCCTGCTAAGGGCTTTGTTTTTGTTTTCTGGAGAGAGGACACGCTCCCTTGCCGCCCTCTTCAAGGCTCGTGGGTCCTTTGCTGGGCTTTGGGAAGGGCCTTGTGCTTCTTGCCCACGGCCCGGCAGCCTGCGTACAACGCCCTACTTAACTTTCAGGGCTGCCCAGCCACACGCCCCCTGTGCCCAGGCCCTGAGGTGGCTCTTGCCCTCGGCCGGTGCGCCCGGGAGAGAACAGCGGCCCCCGCGTGCCCCCCACCCCCCAACCCTCTGGGCCCGGCCGCGCG